GGAAAGGGAACTTTTTAACACAGTAAAAGTTAGAAAAACATCATACCTAGACCACATACTGAGAAATGATAAGTACCAATATGCCCAACTTATAGTACAGTACGGCATTTTGTTTCTTGTTGAGGATCTCATTGGTCATTTATCATCATTCCCAAGTATTTAAATGTTTTAATTGATCAATTAGAGCACTATCTACTTGGAGTTGTATTCTTAAAAGTGCGTTTTCTCGTATTGCCATGCATTTAGTTTTCCAGCATTTATCTTCAAGCCATATATTTTTCCTACGGTGTTTATTTTTTTAACATCAACTGCATATAATGTTCGTTGTCTGTTATTATCGCGGTGTCGTCTGCGTAACGAATGTTATTTATGGAAAACCCGTTTACCTTTATTCCACACTCAGAGCCTTCCAGTGCCTCTACAAAAATGTTCTCTACATAGAGATTAAAAGCATGGGAGACAAAATACACCCCTGTCGCACACCTCTTAAAATTTAAAATTCTTCTGTGTTGGTTGATTTGTTCAGTCTCACTCGTGCTTTTTGATTCCAATAGAGGTTCTGGATATCTTTGTCGTCAATGTTAGCGTTGTGTAGCATTTTTATCATTGCGTCATGTTTTACGGTGTCCTGAAACGATCCAGTAGAGTATACAGTTAAGACTGACGTTATTTTGTTGTAAAAGTAAACACAATTGACAGTTTACATTGAACCAACCTTAACTTACTGTAACCGACATACAGCCATAATATTTAAATTTTGTTTAGTTGATATCAATATTTCAACAATACCAAAATTTTAAAGGTTATGCTAACAAAGTTACCACCATAGATATTTACAATATAGTCTGTTCGTTGCACAATCAGCCCGTTCTCCCAGTTACTTACTCAAAACAAAAGACGAAACAAAAGAGTTTATAAATCGTGTGCTCTTCTCAGTGGTGACTGAGGTCACGTGGTCAATAAACCTAGAAAATTAGAAAGAGATGCAGGGATTGCTTTGAGTCAGCCTTTTCTGTTGCACTAGGAAAACACGATTGTATTCCAGCAATTGGTCTATTAGTAATATATGTCTATAGATACACGGATGATCCCTCCCTCCTCCTTAAGACACTGAGACTACCCCTTTACATAACCTTGACCACACTTAGCTAAAAATAGCTGACTGAATTATTTACATGCTTTATGTGGTTCAATAGAGCTGATTAAGGATTGGTTTTAATGTTTTATTTAAAAGTTTGATTTGCATTTGACCAACATACTTTCTTCAAAAAAAAAAAAACAAGTTCCACAAATAATTTTTAAGTAAAGGCAGAATACCATTAAAAAATATATAAACTATAATAATATTAATGAAAGCTGTTATACCTTTATACCGTTATACCTTTAGATATTGTTTTGTTAATTATTTAAGCTTAAAATTATATGGGAGTGTTCACTTGTATATCGTAGAGTAAGGACGTATTCCGCCGAGTGCGATAGCAAAAAGTGACCACCGATAAGAACAATAATTAAAATCTAATTATTAAAATTCTAGTTATTAAAATAAACAGTAAAGTGGCAGTGGCGTACCAAATTCTGTTTTCTACAATGAACAATTCACACACACGGAACACAAACAATCAGTGTCTATTGTAGTATCAGCAGAAATTGCAGGTAAGCAGCAGGTCCACTATTAACAAATATTTAGGAACATCTACTCAACTCCTCAACAATATTCTCCACTAGAATACACATCCGAACATACACCAAACCTAATATACTGGCAACCCGCAAATACTCCTATAACAAACATTCCACAAAAATCAATTCGCTCTTTCACCACAACCACAACAATTTCCCCCACAACCCCAACCAATTTACTACAACCCAAGCAACCCATCTACTGTAGGGCAGACCTCAAACACAAAGCTAAAACTTGCAATTAGACATTCAGAAAACTCGGATATGGAGTCTAGCGCAGACGACGATCAAGAAACCCAAAATAAAAACTCATGGCAAGTAGTTAAAAAACGTAAATTTTCAAAACAAAATAATGATCCCAATTCTCCAAGCTTACCACCAACAAAAATACAAAATCGATACAGTGCCTTATCTAACGCTGAGAGGTGTGAACAGACTAAAACACAAAACAACAGAAAATACCAAAACCACCTCCAATATTCGTATATGGCGTCAAAAACTTTAAAGATATGGTCGATAACTTTGCACAAATTGTGGAGGAAGAAACCTACTATACCAGAACTCTACCAAACGAAACTGTCAAAATTACAACATATACAATAGATACATACCGTAAACTGATAAGACATATACGAGAAGAAGAAATCATTCACCACACTTACCAAATAAAGTAAGAACGTGCCTGTAGAGTAGTAATAAGTTGTAATAATCCATCACTCTATACCCACAACAGATATAATAAAGGAACTAGAAAAAGCCGGCCATAAAGTTTGCAATGTAACTAACATTCTACACAGACAAACAAAGGAACCCTTATCTTTTTTTTTTCATAGATCTTGAACCCAACAGTAACAACAAGGACATATTCAACCTAGAATTCTTATGTCACACCAAAATAGCAGTTGAGGCACCAAATAAAAGAAACTCAATCATTCAATGCATGCGATGTCAAGCATATGGTCATAGTAAAACATATTGCACTAAACCGCATTACTGCGTTAAATGTGGAGGACAACACAATACAAAAGATTGTAAAAAACCTAGAAGCACTCCAGCTAAGTGTGCACTATGCAAACAAGATCACCCTGCTAACTATAAAGGCTGTAAAGGCTACAGGCTAAAGGCTAACTGTAAAGGCTACAGGGAACTAGTAGAAAACAGACATATGCAGAAAAGAGGAAACCAACAGCCTCAAAGACCAACACTCAACAGTCTACATGTATGTACTGAAACAAATCAGCTAAATACTCTACAAAACCATCAAAAAACATATGCAAACGTGACAGCAAATCAAACAAATCACGATTCAGAACCTAAAACTAATACAGAACAACAACTATTAACATTCCTAAACGAGTTCAAAAACATGTTCTCGCAACTCATGAGTCAAAACAGTATGATATTAAACTTACTAACACAAGTCATTAACCAAAGAAATTCTTAAACATACTTAAAGTTGCCACATGGAACGCTAACGGCCTGCTAAACCATAAGCAAGAAGTAATTACTTTTTTAAACTTAAATAAAATTGACGTTCTGCTTATTTCAGAAACTCACTTTACCGATCTAACTACGTTCAATATTCCGCTCTATACCACATACAGCACACCTCACCCTAATGGTACAGCTCATGGTGGCTCGGCGGTAATCATCCTCAGCTGCATACCACATCAGGTATTGCCGAATTATGCAACAGAACAAATACAAGCAACAATCGTTCAAGTAAATGCAACACCATGGCACTTTAACATATCTGCAATGTATAGCCCACCTCGTCACACAATCTCCACAGATGAATACAAAGCCTTCTTTCTATTACTTGGCAGCAAATTCGTTGCCGGGGGAGACTGGAATGCAAAACACATACACTGGGGCTCAAGACTCACAACAACAAAAGGTCGTAATCTTTTACAAGCAATGACCGACAACAACTATGATTGTCACACCAACGGAATCCCTACGTACTGGCCAAGTGATCCAAGAAAAGTTCCAGATCTGCTGGACTACTACTTAAGTAAAGGAGTGTCCAGAACCAACTGTCTAATAGAATCCAGCTATGATCTCTCATCGGATCATACACCAGTTATTATGAGCCTGAGTACCACAGTTATAAACAGCCCACCACCTCCTCGACTCACGTCAAAAATCACCAACTGGGCAGATTTTCAATCCTACCTGGAAGAAAACACCCATCTTAATCAGCGGATCAAATCTACACATGACATAGATACAGCAGCTCAATACTTTACCACACTTGTGCAAAAAGCGGCATGGCAATCTACACCACGAACTGAACGCAAACCAACACATTCCAACCAACATTCCACAAATGTTCCCCTGCACATTCGCCAACTCATTGCTGAAAAACTTTGAGCGAAGAGAACTTAGCAAAGATCTAGAAATAACATATACTTACATATATTCAATAGACAACGAAGGCAACTTGGATTAGCCATACTAATGGCCATAGCAGCATACTTAACAAAGAAATACGCCATAGAATAAAAACAACAGACGCCATCGAAAAAATCGCGGCGCAAAAATGGAATTGGGCAAAACTCGTCGCCAGATTATCAGACAACCGATAGACAAAACATATTTTTAATTGTAGAATAAGATATTAACATTAAGACATTACGGAGTAGAAGACGCCCAAGAATCAGATGAACTGACATGAATCATGTTAGCAGGAACTGGATGCAAGCCGCACAAGACAGAGATAGATGGAAAAAGCTGAGGAAGATCTATGTTCAGCATAGACGCATACAGTTTGATGGTGATGAAGAATCTAGATACAAAGGTACAAGTTACGAAGTATAAGACAATAGCTTTTTTAATGAGTAGTAGTTACATCTGTGAGCTTATAAGTTGGGGTTGAAGTGGAGTTTGTAGTCTAATTAAAATATTTATGTACTTTGACAAGTACAGAAAGTTAGTTTGAAGTTACTCCATGTGTACTTATTTCTTAGGTATTATTATACTTTATACTATTTACTTCACGACTTTTGATTACTTCACATCGTCGATCGAAAAGTTTGGACATTTGAATTTATATTCAGATTATATTATATTCGAATTTATACAAGAGCTTAAATATATTTTAATGTATCTCATTTACTTCATATTTGCATGTTAATAAAAGGAAAATATTGTCAACAATAAGTTAGGTTTTGTATGTAATTTATGTTTATGTTGGCTAAAATTCCTCCCAATAAAGTTTTTATTGCTCAGCCACTTCCAATTACAATTTTTTTCGATGGTTTGACAGTATTATAATATTTTAATATAACCATTTTTAGTAACATATTGTTTTGTTTCAGGAAGTTGGCCCTTTGGTTTTGTCTGGTGTAACGTTTACGTGACCTGCGACGTTTTGGCCTGCTCATCTTCAATAATGCACATGTGTTTCATCAGCCTAGGGCGATACCTTGGTATCAGAAACCCTCTCAAAACGAGACATAGTACCACAACAAAGACCGTTGTATTTAAAATAGCGTTAGTGTGGTTGCTGTCCATGTTAGTCTCTAGTTCAATTACAGTATTAGGTAAGCTCTTTTATGCACAAATAAGTAACATAACACTAAAGTATCTAATAATTGTTCTTTATCGTAATACATAAAATTCATAAAATTTTAGTACTTAATTCAGAAGACAAGAAACAAAAACAACAATTGTTTGAAAACTGTTTTTTTTTTGGATCTTCTATTATTTTTGTTTTTTTTTTAATTTAAAAATAAAGACAAGTTGATATTATTACTTTCTTAATATCTCATAGTAATCCAGTAATAGCATTAGTGATATTGCAACTACATTTAAACAAAACTAATTAATGGTTTAAACTCTGGAGAATTAAAGTAAATCCTTGAAAATCCACACATCTTTCGTGAGAATCTAGAGGAAACACCTAATATGAACAGAGTGCATAAGATTATTTTAAGGCTAAGCCAAGTTATCCGTCAAGAGCCGGTAGAGACGCTGGTAAAAATTTCTCAGGAAGCGAAGTACTGGATGGAATAAAGTGAATTAATAAGACCATAATGAGAAAAGTAGATCTCATGATGAATTCTCCCTATATAAACATAATTGTGACACCTAAAAGGGTTAAGTGGGATATAAGATATCCAAAGCCCCTTAAGTTGGAGTGATCCAGCACTCATTAAAAAAGATTAGGATATAATACTTATACCACTTTTTAAATTATATATGGGATATAAGATATCCAAAGCCCCTTAAGTTGGAGTGATCCAGCACTCATTAAAAAAGATTAGGATATAATACTTATACCACTTTTTAAATTATTTTGATCCAGTCTACTATATGGTCAAGTTCTTTATCTATGGAGAAAAGAGAAGATCATATTCATACACCTTCTTCTTCTTTAAGTTCCGCTCCTATCGGAGATTGGAAATCATTCTGGCAATTATAATGTTGTTGGTTACGCGCCTGAATGGTTCAATTGAACTGCATTCAAACCATTCACAGAGATTGCGTAGCGACGAGATTTTACGTCTTCCTACGCTTCTTCTGCCTTTCACTTTAGTCTGTATTATATTCCTTAGTAGTTCGTATTTATCACCTCTGATGATGTGCCCTGAGTCCAAGTATTCCAATTTCCTGATTTTTATACAATTCAAAACTTCACATTGTTTTCCTAGTTGTTCGAGAACTTGTTCGTTTGTTTTGCGATCCATCCATAATATTTTCAAAATAGGTCGGTAACACCACATTTCGAATGCTTCCAGGTGTTTAATGTTTAATTTTTTAAGTGCCAGTTGAAGCTTGGACTTCAACCCCATACAAAAGAATAGAGAAAATATAACATCGAAGCATTCTTGTCCGGAGCGATATATTGATATCGCGATTAAAAAAAGTTTTCTCATTCTATTAAAAGTTGACCGTGCTGTTTTAATGCGGCATCTTATTTCTTTTGTCTGATCAGTATCTTCTGTGATCCATGCTCCAAGGTATTTGTACGAAGATATTTGTTCAATGTCTGTATTATCTAGTACTAGCTCAACTTTGATATTTTTTGCTTTTGTAAATACCATAAACGTGGTTTTCCTCAAATTTATTTTTAGTCCATAATCGTTGCAATATATATTTAGCTGTTCAACAAGGTGTTGCAGTTCTTCTAGTGTTCCTGCCAGAAGGACGGTGTCGTCAGCATATCTTATGTTATTAAATGGCTTACCGTTTACTATAAAGCCCTTACTGACCTCGGCAAGTGCTAATTCTGAGATTGCTTCACTGTATAAATTGAATAACAAGGGTGATAAAATACACCCTTGGCAGACCTCACGGCGAATCTGGATATCCTTGGTCAGTTGTTCGAATCTCTCTACTGTCTATGTTTTTATTTAATAAAATTTCTTTAAGCCGATTATGCTGCACTTCGTCAAATGCCTTCTCAAAATCAATGAAACAGGCATATACGTCCTGATTTATATCTAAGCATCTCTGTGAAAAAACACTTACTGCAAACAGTGCATCTCGGGTTCCCAGTCCTTTTCTAAATCCCATTTGTGTATTACTTATGCCTTCATCTAATTTCTTATGTATTCTATTGAGAATTACTTTTGAAAACAATTTTAAGATATGAATTCGATAGGAACTGAAGTCCCGGGAGATTTACCACCCTAAGCTTATTTCATTGCATATTCAGTTTCTTCTCGTATAGGGCCCAGTATCATCCTTAAATTCTTTTGGTGCTTCTGTTCTCACTTTGTCTTCAAAAAGTTGTGCTACATATTGTGTCCATCTCTGCATTTTTTGGTTTATATCTGTTATAAGTGCACCACTTTCATCTCTTAGTTGACTAGTTTAAAGTGTATTTTTCATTCCTGTTAATTCTCTAATTATTTTATGCATGTTAAAAAAGTCGTATTTTCTCTCAATTTCTTCTAGTTGTTGGCACTGCTTATGTAACATTCTCTCCTTAGCTTCTTTTAATTCTCTTTTTAATTATTCGATCAGTGTCATTATATGTAATTGGATTTTTTGTTTTAAATTATTTTCTTTTATTCATTAATAGTAGTATTTCTTCAGTGATCCAGTCTTTATGTTTTCGTTTCTTTGGTTTTAAGTTTTCATTTGCTGTTTTAATTATTGCCACTTTTATATTTTCCCATTTCTGATCAATGGTATAGCTACTTTTATTCAGTTCTTGGGCATTACATAAATTTTCAGTAAGAGTTTTTACAGATTGTTCCTTTGTTTGTGGTTCCCTTAACCTCTTAATATCAATTCTACTTTGTGTGGATTTTTTAACCAGTTTCAATTTGGTACCTAATGTGATTACTATGTTGTTATGGTCTGAACCGATGTTTGCTCCAGGGTAAGTTTTGGCAGACAGTATAAAGTTACGAAATGTTTGTCTAATAAGGACAAAGTCAATTTGCTTTCGGATTATTCTATTCGTTGGATCACCGGAAGATTTCCATATATACAATTTTTTTTTGGTAGTTTAAAAATTGTATTAGCTATAACAAATTCTTCCGTCTGACAAAATTGTATCAACCGGTCACCACGTTTATTTCTATTTCCTAGACCATATTCCCCCACATATCCATCCACTCTTCCCTGTCCAACTTTGCCATTGAAGCCCATTACTATTTTAGTGTGATGTTTTTTCATTGATTTTAAGACTTGTTCCAAATCAGGGTAAAATAGTTCGATATCGTCGTCATCTTTATCTGCCATAGGGGCGTAAACTTGAATAAAATTTACAATACCTTTTTTAGACGAAAGTTGTACTGATAAGATCATAATAAGGAGTAAAACTTCTCAAAGAGTAATTGATCTTTTTTGCAACTAAGATAGCAACAACATAGCGATGATTGACCTCATTGTTACCTGAATAATACATGGTTCCATTATTTGTAATTTGTTTGCCTGAACCTGGCCACTGTAGGTCACTTATACCCAAAACATCAATTCGGAGGTTTTCTATTTCAAGCAGTACGTTCGCTAATTTACCACTTGCGTATAGACTTCTGACATTCCAGGTTGCTATTTTCAATGTCTTAAGTGCACAGGAATTTCTCTGAAAAGAAGTGTTTGTGAAGAATCATACTAACAAAACACTTGAAAAACGTACAAAAACACGGCTTGAGAATTAGAGGTAACTTGGGTTAGACTAATGGTCCAAATTTTGATAGGCCATATCCAAAGATCGATCCCTTGTAAATAATAAACCAATTTGTTCTTTTTGGTGTCATCCAATGTCGTAACTCAGTATTTATTGAGTGTTGCGGTAGAATAAACTAGTGTTTTAGTTTTTGTGAAGTAGTTTTAACAAAAAACCGTTGAAATATTATTGACATTTTTTTGTTTTAACATAATATTTGGTTTTTGTAGTATTAATAAGAAAAAATTTAATTATTTCGTTCCATTGAATACTTACTTCTCTTGCTGAGTACTAATAATAACAACTACCGTAAAAGCCATCTGGTTTTAATCTTCCCGAACACAAATTTTTCTTTATATTTTCATTCGTGTTGCAATTTCCGATCAATCAAGTAGTTATTAAATTCTGTTGCGAATTTCAGGATTCGATTCAGTCAGTCTGCTGTATCTGTAAATAAAAAAAATAGAATTTCTGATTGTATTCGAAAGAAAAATACTTTTCTTACCAGTACAATAAAGACTTTTTTATTTCAAATTGTTTTAAATATTTATATAAAAATACATTGACAAATTAAAATAGTCAAATAGTAGGAACAATAAAAATGGATATATATATATATATATATATAATATATATATATATATATATATATATATATATATATATATATTTAAAAGTCTGAGGTGCGCCAATCAATTAATTAGCTAATTAATTAATTAATTAAACTTATTTAAATGATGCAATTATGATTCTATCACACTATTTAATTTTCTTAACTCGGGGTTATACTTGTGCTTCATGCTTTACATATAATAGATAAGGTCTAAAGAATACCGGAATAATAAAAAAACATATATGATATAACATTATATTTTGAAATAAAATTCACATCCAAATATCTTCAATAAAAAATATCTCATATAATGATTATCAAAATTTTGTTCTACGTACGTGAACCTTCAAAAATAATGGTATATACAATATAAATTAAAATTTAAAATCAAAATTGTTATTCTAAATCTCCTGATCAAAATATTCCTATCTTTTCTAAAGCAATTGTTAAAAAAATGTGTTGTTAATAAAGAAAAACTGACGAATACTAAAACTATCTCTCTGATGATGAGTTGTCCAAATCCTTGCTCCTTGTAGTCTATACGATCTAGTCTTAGCAGTCCCCTAGGTAATCAGCAATCTTACAACAAATTGTTGCGAGCCTATCGTTTTCGCCTATACCTTTTTTAGACTGAAGTTGTATTCATAAGATACTATCATAATAAGGAGTATTTTTTTTTACTTAATTAGATGGTTTTGGTAAAGACCAATTAGCCAGTAATAAGGAGTAAAACTCCTCACAGAGTAATTGACCTTTTTGCAACTAAGATAGCAACACCATAGCGATGATTGACCTCATTGTTACCT